GGGGGGGGGGGCGGCAGGGCTGCAGGCAAATGCAAAACGTGCCGTCCCCAGGAGGAGCTTCAGCCAGGCCGCCTGTGCTGCTCAATGGGGCTGCTCGGGAGTCGATCTGACTGCACCAGGCTGCGCTCCGTCAAACTGGGTGTGTGTGTGTGTTAGGCTTTAGGTGACCCCCCCCCCCTTCATTTCCAACGTGGCCGAGAGGAGGTGCTTCCCTTGTGTCCTATGCACCGTTTATGAAACACTGTTATGCACTCAGCACTCTGTCTGACTTAGGCCCCCTCACAAGCAAAGTTGCAGAGAGAAGGCGCTTCACTGGTGTCATACCCACAGTTTATGAAACACTTTTATGCACTCAGCACTCTGTCTGACTTAGGCCCCATTCCGGGCGATCTCACCCCAATATCTGGGAAGCGCAGTGCTCCCGTGGCTCCCCCCCCCAATGTGCGGAGTTAAAAACTAGTACCTACAAGGTACTAGTTTCCTGAAACCACGTACCAAGGGTGGGTGTCTGATCGCGTTCCCGGTGGACTTACCTGGCATCCGGCGCCCGCTGCTGTTCGTCTCCGCAGGTTGCACAACAACGCCCAACAGCGCATGCGCACAAAGAGCGATTGCCGGTGGGATCGCGCGGCATGGCTTCTGTGCCGCGCTGCAGGATACCTGTCTGATCGGCATTTCCCCCGAACCACGGGACCTCGTCCGGGACATGTGCTCAGGCAGCCACGTTTTAGTTTCCTCCGGGGCATTTAGCCACGCCTCCCCCCTGTGATATCTAGCCCGTGTGACCGGGGCCTTAGTAGGCTAACCTTAGTGGACTCAGCCTTTTTGACATACACAGACATACAGATGCATTAAGTGCCATTGATGATTCTAATCACAGTAACTGAAATCAAGCGTGAACATATATTCAGCTATTGTCTTTGGTTCATTGCTTAAAATGCATGCCGGGAAGAAAGCTAAAATGCGAATAGACAGTGATGCTAACCGTGACCTTGCTTGCTACAGCCAGCTTTAACTGCAGACGCAAGTGAATTTACGAGATGTCCCCATACTTTTACAAACCTCAGGTGCCAGAACAGAGAAAGGCCTATTGCTTGATAGAAGGAGGTACCGTTTTGCCTGGGAAACGACAGCCCCTCAGGTCCAGGCCCAATCAGAGTCGTGACTGACATATGACAAAGTTTGATGGGAGCAGGGCTCTAGTCGGGGGGGAGCTCTCAGGTACGGAGCTCCGGAAGAGAACCTCTAGGGGGCGGGGCGGTCACGTGGTGAAGCCCCGCCCCCTTCTTTACCCCGCCCTCTGCTTCGATCCTCATTCCGTTTGGGAATGAGGATGAAGCAGGAGGGTAAGTAGCCGGGCCTTCTGACACACTTCCGGTGATGTCAGGGGGTGTGGCCTTCTGTCACTTCCGGTGATGTCAGGGGGCGTGGCATATGCAAATAAGTTATGCTAATGAGTTATGCTAATGAGCTCCGGCAGCTCTTTTTCTACAACAAGACCCCTGGATGGGAGGAACCAATAATCGTATGCAGTGTATAAAACTCTATGTCTCCCATTGTAACCCTGGGGAGAGTTGTGGGATCATCTAAACATCATTGGATTTACACCTCCCTCCTTTATTGATCAATCAAGTAGGGACAAGATCTGACTCTGCTGTACAGGATTGTGCTGAGTGTTTTCTCAAATTGGGCTGGGGAAACACACACACACGGATTATTTTCTGTTCATCGTCACTTGCGCTGCGAAGGACCTCAAAGGCAGCCTGGAGGCGCCCCGACGGGAGTTTTGGACAGTATTTCTTGGGAGGGGAAGAGACGGAGGCCGGATTCCCGGGAAAGGAGGCTGAATTTGGACACCCCCCCCCCAACCCCAAGTGCTTCATCCCCAGCAATAGACTCTCAGCTTGCAGCTCCAGAGACGGAGGGAGAAAGAGGGAACTCCCCGCCTTGGGCTGGATGGGCAGCTTTTCCCCATGTGTCTGAAGTATTCCTGCGTTATTGGGCATGGCTGAAGGCCGCCCGGCTGAAGCCCAGTCCCGCTGTAGGGTCCGGGTGCCGCTCTCGATGGAAAGGGCAGGAAGCCTTTTTCCTGAGTCCGCAGCGCTGAAAGGGTTAAAGCAGCCGAGAGGGGCTGGGCGAGGAGCGGGAAGCCCTTTTCCGCTGGTGGGGTGGGAAGGGTTTGCTTCTGAATTGGGAAAGAGAGTAGGAATGTAATTTAATTATCCTGTATGGCAATGTGTAGTGTAGCCAGGAGATCCTAAGATTGTCTGGCAGCCAGAAGTTCCAGCTCTTTTCGTGTGATGCACCACTAGGAGGTGAGCTAGAGTTGTGTTTCTAAGGTTTCAGAGGTGGTTTGCCATTGCCTGCCCCTGCATCCTGACCCTGGTTTTCCTTGGAGGTCAGGTCACCCTTCCAGAATTCCAGCCAGGGCCAACCCTGCTTATTCTCTAGGTAGGATGGGGTCGTGCGAGGCTATCCAGGTCAGGGGAGAGAACAGGGAGGGTTGCAGACATGCGACAGAAAGCCTTGCAGCCAAATTCTGGGAAGGTTTATTCTGGAATATGTGTCAGCTAGCTGCCATGCTTTCTTTTCTTTTTTTCCGTCCCAACTTTTCCTGCACACATGCTTGCTTTGCATAGTTATGGTGGGTAACATAAGGGAGGCGCTCTTTTCCCCGTGCGAACTGGCTCAGCCAGACAGCGCTATCAGTGTAACCTTGAAGAGAAGGGAGGACTTGCATTCCACTATCACTATCGGTGTGAATATTTCTGCTCTCAGGGGGGGTGGGGAGAGTCTCCCATTTATGATGTAATGTCCTGCCCCCCGCCCGCTTGGATTTAATTTGCTTAGCTAGATGAGGCATCAGAGTATATGTATTGAGTCCCTTGCACTAATCGTTGTTCTTGACAATGTACCTGTACCACTTGGCAGCAGGACAGTATTCCAATAAAGCATAACTTTTTCTGAAGAGTGTGTTTGGACCTGTGTGCTGTTGACCCTGACAGTATGTCAGAAAAACAGAAATTCGGGGGACAGGGTAAAAGCCGGGATGGGCATTGAACAAAGAGTAGTACTGCAAAAACCAGTGGGCTTTCATTACACTCACCAGTAATAGATATTCAGGCACTTCCTGAAAATAGTGGCTGTGGCATCATTACATGCCCCACAGTGAACACAGAAAAAATATTCATTGTGTTTCTCTGCCATCTCCCCATCTTCCTTTAGCAATCCCTTTATTCCTTGGTCATTAAAAGGCCAACTGTTTCTCTGGCTGGTTTCCTGCTCCAGATATATTTAAAGAAATGTTTATTGTTTGTCTTGGTGCTTTTAGCAGCCTGCTCCTCAAAATCCTTTTTTGCATGCCTAATTATTGACCTTTCATTTCTTAAAAGGAGCCTCTTTACTTTTTATAGCTTCCTTAACTTCCTCCACCCTCAGGTAGTGCTGGCAATTTGACTGAAAATCAGCTGCTTGTATACTTTGAGAGAGCTCCTCAGACTTGGAGGCAGAGGCAAGCACTATGTCAGTGGTGTCAAACTCATTTATTACAAGGCCCAGTTCTGAGACAAATGCCACCCTGTTGGGCCAGGCCATGTGTGCCATAAAACAACATGCCAGGTACCAGAGATATAAACTATATAAAGGACAGCAGCTGGTAAGCACCGAGTTGGTGTATCCTCACTGCAAGGCCCCATGGGCTAGGAGGAGGGTCCAAAGGGGAACCCATATGGTTGGACTAGAGAGCCAGTTGTGCACCCCTGGCAGATACTCCCACACTGCTTGACTGCTGCAGATGAGGTTGTTCCGCCATGCTAAAGCCACAGAGTGACTCTGCCCCCTCACCCCGGAACAGTCTTCTGTTCCCTCCCTTGCACTAGTTGCTTACAGGCCGGCTAAGCGCCCTGGATGGGCTGGTTCTGGCCCCTGGGCCTTATGTTTGACACCCCTGCACTATGTGGATTGCTTCTGTCACTAGGCATTTGAGCAAGTTTCAGGACTCCTAAAGCTCCTCCATTGAGGATTTGCAGGCTTCTGTAACGGACTCCGGGCTTGGGATCAGCCTGCAAGAAAAGACACCTGCAGTCATGTGAGTAGCAGTGGGGATATAATTCTGATGCAGAACTCGGGGGGGGGGTGTTCTAATGAAAAAAACAAACTCTTGACAATTGGGAGTTTGGCCGTTGAGAATGTCAGTTGGTGCGTGGTCAGTGGGTGCTGTGCCAGGGGACTGACAAGTCTGGTTGAACATCTCTAAGTCTGAGGACCAAATGAACCTTCTCCAAAGTAAAGGTAAAGGTCCCCTTGCTCGAAAGCCAGTTGAATCCGACTCTTGGGTTGCGATGCTCATCTCCGTTTCAGTACGCGGCAAAATAAGTTTCTTAGAAAAACTAGCCATAGATGCAATGATACTGTTTGGCCACCAAGTGGCAGTAAATGGCCACAGATCACTCCAAGTTCTTTGTAATCTGCTATCCACCCATGCCCGGTGCTGAAACGGTAGATGCCGGATATCACATTCATACTTTCCAGGTGTAGACATAAAGCATGAAAATAGCTCCTGCTTTCACAGATGCATTACTTTAGCTGAGGAAAACTCAGATGCATTCTATTTTTCACAGCTGTCTATGGACACAACTGACATTTTACCTGACAATTTATTAGTCGGTGGACTTTGGAATACTTTGAAGACCCTCGTATTCTGACCGCGATGGTCAGATGAAGGAGAGGGTTTGAAAACTTCTTTTGAGACCCTGTTCAGTTTCAAAAAAGTGGGGACCAGCTTGGCTGTTGGGTAAACACCAATCCAAACAATCCAAAGACCCATGGAAATAACTTCGGTTATTTTGATTTGTGACTGGACGCATGCCACCAATCACGCAATGACGGGTGCTGCATGACGGAGTGAGCTCCCGTCTCTAGTTCCAGCTCCTGCCAAACTTGCAGTTCGAAAGCAAGAAATTGCAAGTAGATAAATAGGTACCACTGCAGTGGGAAGGTAACAGCATTCCATGCGCCTTGGTGTTTAGTCATGCTGGCCACATGACCATGGAAACGTCTTCGGACAGCGCTGGCTCTTCAGCTTTGAAACGGAGATGAGCACCGCAACCCTAGAGTCAGATTCGACTGGCTTTCAAGCAAGGGAACCTTTACCTTTACTAGTTGGAATATAAACTTTGACAAGCATAGAAAATAACTGACGAACAAGAGAGACAACACTCAGTAAATGTAAAATGTTGAATGACAGAATTTACTTCTGAGGAAGTTTGGAATCGAAACGAAGACACAAGCCGGAAGCTTCATGAATATAATTTGTGATTCTCTTATTTGTTGATTCTATCTTTTAAAGCACCTTGTCTTGTTTTCCTTACCCCAGTACTGTGTTAATTAACCATTTTGTTTAATTGTTCTCTGCCTGGTCATCACGCCTATGTTCTTGGCTTAAAAGGGGGCATTTTTGGATGGACTTTGGAGGGTACTCTGGCCCTTCTCAAGGGACCCGAAGTCCAGAGTGGTGGCAGTGGAAGGTGGCGACCCCCTGGGGTCATGACAGCTACCATGAAAACTAAGGAGTCTTAAAACAGTGGGAGGGCTTCTAATGTCCTGGCCCCACTGGTGGACCTCCTGATGGCACTGGTATTTCTGGCCACTGTGTGATACAGAGTGTTGGACTGGATGGGCCTTTGGCCTGATCCAACATTGGCATCTCTTATGTTCTTATGTTAAAAGGAAAATAAGCTCCTTGAGGTTAAGGTGAGCTCCTTAAGAGATTCACATGCCTCTCACTTAGAATTTATACCTTGCTGGAGAGAGAGACTGGTTTAATGGATTTAGTGCGTGCCAGGAGTGTTTATCAGACTAGTGGATGTCCAAAATCAAAACCAAGGCACAGTGGAAGTATTTCTCTGTGAAAGTGGAGAGTACCTGAGAAATCCACACCAAAACTGGCCATCTAGAACAGCACAGGGGTTGAGTTTAGAGAGTGTTGTGTATTGTGACATCTAAGGGGAACGATTATAAAAGAACTATCTGAAATATACCATTTGCAACTATGTATCCATCTGCATCAGCTTTTCCTTTGTACATATATTCCCTGCCTGTCTTTGTAAATAGAATCGTTGATTGGTTTTATTGTTCCCAGTCATGTGTGCCTCAGTGTCTGACAACGGGAAGCATCTGACAAAGTTAAACCACAAGATTCATCGCAGAAAAAGCGCAGTGTTCATGAAAAGCCACACAGAGGGTGTGTATCAGAAGGACAAAGTGGGTGGGTTCCTGGTCAAACAGAGTCAGTGTCAGTGAAAAATAAGACTGCTCCAGCCTGTGAAAGGTTAAAGGAACAAAACCCCTCATGCCCTAAAATAAGGCAAGGACTCCACGGTGGCAGTGGTGGGGTTCACAGAAGTTCCCAAAGAACTGACACGAGAGATATGGGTCTACTTACGAGGAGATCTTTAATAACCCATCTAAGTTATCAAAGAAGATGCAGATGGAGCTCCTATCAGCTGGTCTCGAGACGCACACAAGGACAGTGTAGCTTAGCCAAACCTCAAGACCAAGAACATAACTAAACCTACATGTTTCTTGGGGTGTCAAACATACGACCCATGGGCCAAACCTGGCCAACAAGCGACTTCCTTCTCTGGCTTCCTTTTCCACAGCTACTACTACAGCTGCACCATAGCTTGGTTTTTTCTTAGCTCCCTCAGTGGCTCCTTGCTTCCTACCTCTTGCTTCCCTCTTCCCCTCTCACAGTCACACAGCTTCATGGCTGCTTCCTGTTTCCTGCTTCTTGCGAGAGAGATACAAACTCTCTCTCTCTTACAGACACACACACAGCTTCTCCTTCCTTCTTCAGGGCTGCTGTTCCTCTTTTGGGGAGGAAGCGAGGTGGAGAAAAGAGACAGACAGAGAGAGAAAAAACAAAGTTGGAGCCCCATGACAGCTTTAAGACCAACGTTTTATTCCAGATATAAGCTTTTCTGTGCAAGCACACTTCTTCAGAGGGAGGGAGGGAGGATGGAATCTTCTGACAAGCACAATTTACGCTGAGGAAATTATTTTGCCTTATTCTGAAAAAAAATTAAGATTGGATAGAAGAAACAGGCGCAATAGCTTCGACTGCAAACCTGCACAGAAACCAGGAATTTAACACTTCAATAGGAGCTCGAGGCTCTGTGTGAAAAGTCTTTCCAATTCGTTCCAAATCCCTAAGCTTTAGGGACCCCTTCTCAGGGTACCAAGGACATTGTCTCTGAATTTCCAAAAGCAATTGATTAAGGGTCGCAGAAGACACTGTCCGGCCAGCCTTCTGGGCAATGATTTGTAGTTCCTTTAACTGTGCCTGCTGGGATAGTGCTAATTTAACACCCATATCTCACCAATGACGGGTTCGTTAAACATGACGAAGAAGTGAACTTCAGGGGCCTATGCCAGGCAGTGATGAGATGAATCATTTCAAGTCCCTGTTCGGGCATCACTTGAAGATTGCTGGAGTTCAAAATAATGACAGAACACAAGTCTGCAGAAAGCTGACTGACTCCCGCCTTGGAGAAGCAGGGCCTTTTATTAAAAATCCTTTTCCTCCTTTCCCCCTCCCCTTCATACATTACTGCATTCTATGGAATGTGTTTTCTAACAGCACACCTCTTTATCTTCCCAGGCTCTCGGCCAAGTGACTTCATCTGCTTAGGAAGTCAGCAGATGTTTTTACCTTATGCAATTAGCACTTACTTTAGTTCTCAATTTCCAGCCAGGAGAAGTGCTTTCTGGGTTTGCCACAGATAAGCACTGTTCCTACATTTTTCCCTTCAGGCCGGTTACCAACTCTAATGCAGAGACCTTTCCAAAATAAAGTAAGGCGACAGAAAGAGGATTTTCTCAACTGGTGCTATTAAAGCACAATCTCAATAGAGGAATTCAAGTGGCCCTCTGAGGAGGAAGACGTGGGGGGAGGACGCCTTGGCCCAGGGCTCCGTCCAGGTCATTTCTGGCACATTAACAGGTGGTGGCAGTGGTGGGGTTCAGAGCAGGGGGAGGGAATCCAACTTCTCCCTCCTAATTCTCTCTGTGAGAAACTGGGGGTGGGGTGGGGAGGATAACTTGGACTGGGGAATTCGTGCCCCACAAGGTTCACCCGCCAACTCCAGAGATACTGGTCCATGTCCACAATACTGGTTGTTGTGCGGGAGGACTTTCAGTGCCAGGGCCAGCTATAGGAAAGTTTCACACTTGTATGCATTCTCTGAGGAACATGAAAATCAGACCTGTGCCTCAAGCTCTTGCCACACACTGAGTACTGAGAAGGTTCGTTCCCTGGGAAGACTCCTCGATGCTAAAGGAGAGATCAGCTGATTCTTCATGCAGCAAAAGCCATTGCCCATCCTTGCTTTCTTCCCTTTGGGATATTTTTGAGTTTTTGAACACGGCTAAAGCTCTTTCCACACTGTCTTTATAACATTTCATCCCAGGTAGTGTAACGTTTCAGGTTAGATTCAAGCTTCTTACAGCATTTTTTACCTTTTCAATACTTTATATGATCTGTTGTTTTTTAGGTGTGAAACAGGAGAAAAGCTTTTTTCATGACTAAGCAGTAACATCATTTCTCCTTGTGTGGGGTCCTTGATGCAGTAGAAAAGTGTCACTCTGAGTTAATCTCTTTCCACACTTTGAGCATTCAAAAGGTTTCTCCTGTGTGGCTTCTTCAATGCAGTTGAAGATTGACACTGGTACTGAATGTCTTTTCACACTCTGAGCTGTTAAAAGGTTTCTCCCCTGTGTGGGTTCTTTGATGCCGTTTAAGACTGCCACTCACACTGAATCTCTTTCCACACTCTGAGCATTCAAAAGGCTTCTCCCCTGTGTGGGTTCTCTGATGCTCTTGAAGAGTGCCACTACGACTAAATCTCCTTCCACACTCTGAGCATTCAAACGGTTTCTCCCCTGTGTGGGTTCTCTGATGCAGTTGAAGACTCCTACTCCAACTGAATCTGTTTCCACACTCTGAACATTCAAAAGGTTTCTCCCCTGTATGGGTTCTCTGATCCATTTGAAGACTGCCACTCTGACTGAATCTCTTTCCACACTCTGAGCATTCAAAAGGCTTCTCCCCTGTGTGGATTCTCTGATGCAGCTGAAGATTGCCACTTTGTCTGAATCCCTTTCCACACTCTGAGCATTGAAAAGGTTTCTCCCCTGTGTGAGTTCTTCGATGCAGTTGAAGATGGGCACTCTGACTGAATCTCTTTCCACACTCTAAGCATTCAAAAGGTTTCTCCCCTGTGTGGGTTCTCTGATGCAGTTGAAGACTGCCACTCCGACTGAATCTCTTTCCACACTCTGAGCATTCAAAAGGCTTCTCCCCTGTGTGGGTTCTCTGATGCAGTTGAAGACTGCCACTCCGACTGAATCTCTTTCCACACTCTGAGCATTCAAAAGGCTTCTCCCCTGTGTGGATTCTCTGATGCAGCTGAAGATTGCCACTTTGTCTGAATCCCTTTCCACACTCTGAGCATTCAAAAGGTTTCTCCCCTGTGTGAGTTTTCTGATGCTCTTGAAGACTGCTACTCCAACTGAATCTCTTTCCACATTCTGAGCATTCAAAAGGTTTCTTCCCTGTGTGGGATCTTTGATGACGCTGAAAATTGCTATTGTGACTGAATCTCTTTCCACACGCTGAGCATGCAAAAGGTTTTTCCCCTGTGTGAGTTCTGTGATGCAGTTGAAGACCGCTACTCTGACTGAATCTCTTTCCACACTCTGAGCATTCAAAAGGCTTTTCCCCTGTGTGGGTTCTCTGATGCAGCTGAAGATTGCCACTCTGACTGAATCCCTTTCCACACTCTGAGCATTGAAAAGGTTTTTCCTCTGTGTGAGTTCTTCGATGCAGTTGAAGATGGGCACTCTGACTGAATCTCTTTCCACACTCTAAGCATTCAAAAGGTTTCTCCCCTGTGTGGGTTCTCTGATGCAGTTGAAGACTGCCACTCCGACTGAATCTCTTTCCACACTCTGAGCATTCAAAAGGTTTCTCCCCTGTGTGGGTTCTCTGATGCAGTTGAAGACTGCCACTCCGACTGAATCTCTTTCCACACTCTGAGCATTCAAAAGTTTTATCGACTCTGTGTATTCTTTGGTGTATGAAGAGCTGTGATCTATTTCTAAAGTACTTTTCACACGAAATGGATTTGCTTGCCTTCATTATCCTGTGCTTTGGAATATGTACATTATGCTGTCTTTCATCTCCCTTCTCAACCATATGACCGACTTTCTTTTTCATTGGTCCACATCGATTCCTGACGTTTTCTTTCAAGTCTTCATTTTTAACTTTATCTGGCATTTGTTGATGAACTTCATCACCTAATTCATTCCTCTGATCATCCTCTGCTGGAATAAAGAGAGAGATCCTGTTTGCACCTGGGAGAGCTGGGAAGGTCCAAAGGCATCTACGTGACCGCAGGAGGAAAGGATTGACGATGGCCCTTTGGCCTTGGCCACCTTGGCTGATCTTAACCACCACTCCAACTTTACCCCAGAATATCTAGTATTCAAAGATATCTCATCCCCTCAAATGCCACAGCTGAGCTCTTGCCCACAAGGAGCTCTTGAGCCTCGAGATTTCAGGTCCTCCCTCCTTCCCCAGTGGGCTGTATGATTGTACAAAACGTTACTCAGAAGTGAATCATAACCCTGAAGGATACTCACTCTCAGGCAGCTCATTTGGGAACGAAACATGGTCTTGGGATCCTCTTGAGGAAATCCTCAGCCTTTCTTCAGATGCAAGGCTGTTGTCTATCCCCACCGTAGTCTCTCCTATACTCCTGCCTTCGTTCACAGACAGACAGAGAGAGAGAGAGAGAAAGGGATCATTCTGACACTGGGAAGGAAAGAAATTCAAGGATTCTTCTGGGAGGATGAAACCATGGTCAAGATCAAAGCCCACAATCCCAACCAGTATCGGGGAACAGATCTGTGAAGCAAAGCACCCTGGTTCCTCCAAGGGTTTACGTGATTATTAAGTGGCCTGGTCTGACTTTCAGGCATTCGTGATTCGAGTCTCCCTGCAGTGAACGTTCTTATATTTTTCAAGGCCATTGCTTACTCGTGAGAAACTGTATCCAGCTGTGTAGCCAGGAGGGCGGGGGGGATTAGGAGGGTGCTGACAGCCTCTGGAAAACTCCATCAAGGAGGACCCTTGATTGGGTCATTAGGACCACCTGACCCTAAGAGGTAGGAAGTATAACAGACATATAGACAAAAGGGAAGCCAGGCTAAATCCATGATCATGCCATGCTAGTGTGTCTTGATATTTTCTTGCTGCGTCATGATGAATAGTTTTATGTAAAGAAATTTAGGCTACAGCTGGAATACTTATGCTGTATCAAGAGGTGCCATCTAATACCACGTATTTCATGTATTGGATGGAACCAGCCCCATAGCAAACAACTTTTTCCTCAGGGGGCCAATGTTTTTCTCGGGGGTGGGTGGGTGCCATCTAGAGAAATAAAGCTGGTTAATAAGATTTTTGGAAGGGAGAAAGCTTTGTGTTCCCAAACTGAAAAAGATGGTGGTAGGGGCACGAGAAAAGCTGACGGTGACAGTTCGGTGGGCTAAAGGCTTGCCAGCACCAAAGCACTTAATGGGGTGGGTGGGGGGCATTTCAAATGTCCCCTCCCTTTCCCTCCTCCTCTTGTGCTGCTTCTGGCATGATCAGGGGGGGGATGCCAAAGCTTGAGGGATGTTGCTTTGCCCGCCAAACTGTGGACGGAGAAGGTTCTGCCTCTGCTCTTCTCCTGACTGTGCGGCGATTGGTCGGTGATGAAGGGGCCAGAGGGGAGAAAGGGGGAGGGGCCCATAAAAACCATGTGGGTGGCATGGACCCCCCGCTAGCTACAGGCCTGGCTAGAACAGTTCACTTTCCTTGTTTTTCTCTTGCTGAGCTGCAAAAACGTTGCTGTTTAGTGATGTTTTATTTTTAAATACCCAACAAACCTTTATATATTTTAAAAGGGGTCTGCTTTACTTGTGTGCTCTCTTCTCACTGAACTGGGTGCTGCTCAGGTACAAAGAGACTAGTGATGTAAACCTAGTCTCAGTGAGGCTGATGAAATGGAACACAGGCGTGGCAAATAAAAGTCAGGCTAAAAGGGAATATGAGGAGCGCATTGGAAAAAGCATGAAGACCAAACTTTCTTCAAATACATTAGAAGCAGAAGAACAGCCAGGAAGGCAGTGGGGCCCTCGGATGACCAATGGGTAAAAGGATTACCAAAGGACAATAGGGAATTGGTTGAGAAGCTGAATGCATGATGAGGCTGTGGGCTATGCCGTGGAGGGCCATCCAAAACGGACAGGCCACAGCAGAGAACTCAGACCAAGCGTGATCCCCTGGAGAAGGAAATGGCAACCCACTCCAGTATTTTTGCCAAGAAAAGTCCATGGACAGTATCAAAAGGCTAAAAGATATGACGCCAGAAGATGAGCCCCTCAGGTCGGAAGGTGTCCAATATGCTACTGGGGAAGAGCAGAGGTCAAGTACAAGTAACCCCAGAAAGAGTGAAGCGGCTGGGCCAAAGCCGAAAGGATGCTCAGTTGTGAGTTAATGGTGAATTTGAAGAAAATTAAATTAGAAAAATATAGAGAGCTTGAAAGAAAGATAATTTGGAAATGTTATAGAACCCCTGCCCAATTGGCATATATGATTAAAGGTATGAAACCTAATTGCTGGCACTGCGGTGCAAAGGAAGGGTGGTATTCTCACCTATGGTGGGAATGCCCAAGGGTTAGAGATTTCTGGGAAAAGGTACGGGGAAAGATAGTAGGGTTATGTAAAGTGGATCTTAAAATAGATGGAGATTTATTATTTATGGGCATAATGGGAAATGGTAACATTGAGAGACAAAATCAGGAAATCTTTAAAGCAATGTTACTAGCAGCGCATGCTGTGATTGCATATGGTTGGAAGGAGAGTTTGAAGTGGTCTTTAGATAGATGGAACGATTATTTATACGAATATATCCAGTCAGATATATTGGAATGTATTAAACAAAATAAGGTATGGGATGGAAAAATGAAGGAGATAAAAAAGAAATGGTCTATATACTTTCAGTGGGTAAATAATGGAGAAGCTAATTCCGTTATACTTGAAAAATTGAAAAAAATGTGCTCATGGTTAAAAATTTAATTTGTAGCATGTGATGGCCACCTTGTGGGGGGTGGGATATAAAATGGGGAAAACGTATCATAAGAGAATTGGGATGGTAAAGTAATGTAATGTAATAATAATTTATGATGCAAATAAAAATATATATATAAAAAAAAGGATGCTCAGTTGTGGATGTGTCTGATGGTGAAAGGAAAGTCCGATGCTGCAAAGAACAATACTGCATAGGAACCTGGAATGTAAGATCTATGAATCAATGTAAGCTTGACGTGGTCAAAAATGAGACCAGGACAGCAAAGGATGAGATGGTTGACGTGGTCAAAAATGAGATGGCGGCTTGCAAGAAAGTGCCAGACTCATGGAAA